TTCTAGTCTAGATATATATATATAAAAGGCTACCCATGTTCCCGATGACTCATCTTCTACCTGATTGGGCCAGCCTTTCAAGGTTATTTGCATATGCGGCCTGATTGGCCCTCACCTCCAACATTCTAAACAGTTTGTTGTTGCTGTTGGGAGTCATTGAATGTGTCCTGAAGTAAAATACATATCCCAATTTCCCTTTAAATGGTCACTGGAGTTGCCAACCTCCCTATGGGGCCTGGAGATCTCCCAGAAATCACTGTGTTCCCCAGCCATAGCACATCATTTTCCCTACTGAAAATTTCCAAGCTATTACAACTGATCTCCAGATGACCAAGATCAGTTCTCCTGGAGACAATGGCTGCTTTGGACAGTAGACTGTATGGCATTATACCCTGCTGAGGTCCCTCCCCACCCCAAACCCTGCCCTCCCCAGGCTCTATCCCTCAATTCTACAGGTATTTCCCAATCCAGAGTTGGCAACTGTGTAACTGGCTATAGAACCACTTTCCAGACCCTTGGAACCCAGAAAATATGGTATAGGAGGAGGTGCTTTTCTACCTCAGCTGCCACCTCATAACTGCAAATCAACATAAGTCAGAGGTGGAGGGAACCATACCTGTTACCTTGCGGCTCTCCTCCCATACTACCCACTTGAGGCAACAAAATGACTTGAGACAGCCCTGCCTTATAGTTACAGAACGAAATAAATATGGCTCCCCTCCCTCTGTTTTATAACAACAAAGTTGTAAAAGTCTTAAAACATTTGTTGCTCTTCAGGTTTTGAGAGGCTGAGGTATTTGTCTGGTGGAACTTGAAAAGAAAATGAGTCATGGTGTGCAAATCACAGAGAGATGTCCTCAGTTCCAAAATCTTAATGCAGAACAATAATGTAGCCCTGTTGCTATGTACAACAACGCCATATTCAAATATGAGTTGTAGAATTCAGCAACCTGAATATCTCAGCTTCCCACCCACCCCACCCCACATTTTGCCCTTCTTAGCTGTGACAGTAGTTCTGAGAGTACATGGGGTTACTTTCCTGCAAGATGTTTATTTTTAAACCTGGAATATACACAGTAATATAACTGTCACCTTCTGTGCCGAAGAGACCTCATGTTAAGTCTTTTCTCAGGTAACAGGCTTTTCATGCCCCTTGCTGTTTTTTATGCCAGTATCCTATAGTGGTTAGAGTAACAATTTATGACTCATGAAACACAGTAGATGATGTTGGGATAGTCTCTCTCAGTCAATGCTCCACCGTGACTGTCTTAATGCGCGCACACACGTATTAATTAGGAGTTTTTGCCTTTTGTGGCAGTACAAGCTGATTGGCTTTGTTCACAGGTTTAAAATGTTTACTGCCGCACATAACAAGGATTAGGGCTGTATTATGAAATGAAGGCACAAAATTTTCCAAATATTAATTCTATAAAGGCCACTTTTTACCTTACAAATCTTGAAAGTGTTCTTCTGAACCCCATAATTTTGTCTTATGTTCTTGGGGCTAGGATAAACTATAAAAAATAATTTTTGCCACTTTATACATCATTATTTGCCCATTCACTATTGCTAATTCAATTTTTTCTTTAACTGAGTCAAGGGCATGAGAAACTGGACTGAACCAGCATCCCAGGTTTAACTCCAGGCCTCTCCAGTTTGAAAAGCTCAGTGAATGGGTGCTGTTCTTGGCCTGAGACCTTGAAATACTGATGCCAGTCACAGTTGACAGTACTGGGCTGGATGATCTTGATTTCAAATGATTCGCTGTGTCTAAAAAGTTAGCCAATGATCTGATTTGGTATAAGGGAGTTTTCTGTAGATACTAGGGTGGAAAAGAGGTAGCAGCAGAAGATGCACATTCTCTGTCTCCCTGGAGCAGGATTGGGAGGCATTTTGGACTGCTGCATTGTTATTTGCTGTATTTATAGTCTCTTACTGAGATTCAAATAAGATTGTACTATGTAAGTTGATAACAATCCATATGAAGAGCCATCTAATAAGCACAGTGGAGGTCAATACAGTCACTATAGGGACACATCTAGTGAGCAGTGTACTAGGACTAGGATTACCAAAGTCTGAGTGAGCCTAACATATTGGCATGATGCAGAGTGTGGATATGAAGAAGAAAGTGATATTAGATCAGTAGGAAACAATGGAACAAAAACAGGGTAATATCTGCAGCAAATTGATAATACACCCTGTGCACTGTAGTATAATCAACAGTCCCTTTCCTTTTATGGGCACCTTCCTAAACTATTTTGTTATAGTACAGCCCCATTGACTTTATAGAAGAGCTCTCTGGAACAACTCTGTTTTACATATTTTGTGGAATGACAGGAGTGTGGAAGCCCTCTTGATCTTCTCAGGCAGGCTATTCCAGGAGGTGTGGGCCCTAGCTGAGAAAACTTGTGTACAGGCAGTTGTTGATTTTGCCTGTTTGTAGGGTGGCACCTGCTGAAGGCCCTGAACAGATGAGCAGAACAGTCTTGGTGGAGAATAGGAGGAGGAGGAGAGGCAGTCCTGCAGATATGAGGTTCGAAGGCCATGTGGGGTTTCACATATCAGTACCTCAAGGTCAGTACTTTGAGCTGAACCTAGTAGCTGATGGCCATCCAATTGAGTGACTGCTGAATGGGCGTAATGTGCATGCTCTCTCTTGCTCTTGATAATAGTGAAGCTGTGACTTTCTGAGCCAACTGGAGACCCTTGTAGGATGCATTACAGTAGTCTAATCTCCATGTTACCATGCCATGGATCCAGGAGGCTAGATCAGCTGAGTCACAGTAGAGGATCATCCTCCAGGCTGGATGAAGTCAGAAGAAAGCATTTGTTGCAGCTGTATTAAAACTTGCTCCTCCAGCAGTAATGCTGGCTCCAGAATAACCTGTTGACTCCTAACCAAGTCAGCAAAGATCAGCTGAACTCCATCAAGACCTCAGCCTTCCCAACTAGCATTACTTCCAGGATTCAATTTCTATTTATGTGTTTTAGTAATCTACCCAAAACAGTCAGGCAGTGGTTCAAGACCCTGAGGTAGAGAAGCTGTGCTCCATAGATGGAAATCCTTCTGTCAGCAGAGATTTTCAGCAAGATTTAAGCCGTTGTCTCCTTGCTCTGTTCAGTTTCCATTTTCCTTTGCAGCTGACTTGTCTCACCATAGATAAATTGTATATGAAGGGAAACACCAGCTTAAACTGGGGAAAATCTTTCTTTTGTTTTATACCCAACCTTTTAATTCAGAGCTGCCTAGAGATCTGTTAGGAGCAGATCAGGAAGATAAGCCTGTCTGGGTTGCAGACAGAACAACTTTTCCTATTATCAGACGGAGTAGGAAAGTGTTTAGGCCACTGATTTATGCATATGCCCATGCGTATGTAGATTTGGGGAACTGACCTTTTCTTTCCACAGTGCCAAATTCTTTCATCATCTGCTGTCAGTTCTTTGTCGTTTGTGCCAGCACTTCTCTGAATTTCACTGTCTGAAATTTTCCCCTGCCTCTCCCCCCACCCCCGACCCGTAATTGACATTCCCAGTTAAGACTAGGTCGAAATAGACTTTGGTTTCATTTGTTCAAAGGAAACAAGGGCAATTTTTTTCTCCTGTTGGAGAAGCTATGCGGACTGTTCCAGTTGGTCACAGGAAAAATGTACAAGAAATGCAGAGCATGATGGAGGTTAAACTAATTATGGAAGCTCTTAGAGAAAAGGCAGTGTTACAAGTGACGCTGCATTTCTAATTGCTACTAGAAGAAAATGCCATCAGGAAGGAAGATAGCTGCTGTTAATTAGTGGAGAGTGAGATACAAAGCATGCTGTGACCTGTCTGATTTCTTTGCTTTCCAGTCTTGAATTTCTTCTTCGGTTAACACCACCAGTTACCCTGCCCTGGTTATTTATGTCTGGCTTAAGTTTATGATCTCCCTTCTCCACACACATCAGATATGAACTAGAGCACTTTTTGTTTTCCTTTTCTCAGCAGTGCCAGCATGGAGCAACTGGCCCTGGTCAGATTCAATAAAAAGAAAATGCACATAAACAAGAACTGTGTTCTCGTGACGACCGAGGAAGCCTGTTTTAATATGCTTAATTTCTTAATCTCTAAAGTTCTCCAGTCTGCTGCTGCTCCAGTCTGCAGTCCAGGAACTGACGAGTTAGAAATCTATAAATAATCAAAAGAAGTCTGGTTGCTCTCTGTTTTATGTGTGTAATATAATGCTTTGTTGTTTCAGATGTCCTAGTTATTCCCTTGATCTTTCACTCTCCATGCGCAGAATAGTGGAGCTCTTCTGTAGCATGTTACATGCATAGGAAACCCACTAGAATATGAAATGAGGAAGAAACTTTGAAATCAGTTTCCTCCTTTAGGAAGAGAGGAACTCAAGTCATTTTTAATAATCCACGTGGCTGACTGAATTCTTATTATGTATGATTTAGTTCCATTGGGCTCTGGGTGTGAGGAATTGGAATATGCAATGCACTTTTTAGACATGATTGTGGAAGCAACACATGATAAGATGTTGCTCTCAAGAAATAAATTACATTCAAAACTAAACTGTCAAAATTGGCGTAAACAACTTGGGTGCCCAGTGACTACATTGATTTGAAGGGCAATAGCTCTGAAATGAGAGCAGAAATCCCTGTATGTAACTGTTGCTTCTGTAGGTATTGCTTTTGTATTGGTAACAAAAACATTCACTCTGAAGTTTCCTGAGACTTGGTTTTTGACAGGGTTCTTGATGGGGGTGGGCTACACCACCCATTTAGGAATTCTTGGTCATAAAGAGGGGCTTTAGAGATAGGAAATAACCAAACAGCATAATATATGCTGTGCAGAATTGGTTCCCATAAAATAATTGTTCTGTAAAATGAAAAGGGAAAGTACGTAAACCTTATACAACAAAAATCATGATAACAGTACTTTTAAAGATTGTATAATTTGAATGTTTTAGTTGGAAAATGGCATGTTTGAGGATTTTATTTATGCATTATTTTATTTTTCAGTCTTGCAGACTGCTTTGCTTTGCTTGTAGCTGGTTGATCCATGACTGTGGAGGAGTTTCTGAATGTTTACCACATCCATGGAATTAGAAGAGGAGGTACCTTCATTGTTATGGGGCTTGGACCCTGTCTTCTCAGCCTTCACAAGAATGTACATTAAAGATATACAAGAAATGAAAGAATCTAAGCAGGTGCCAGGTGAGTGGTAAGGTTGCCCACCAATAAAGCACAAGAATGCAGGTCTTCTCATTAAAACCAGTAGTGGTGTTACTGACATCATAGTGGTCTAGCCCCAGCTGTCAATTCTGCTGTCTTTCCCTTTTCTTGACAGAAGATCAGAGGGGATGATGAGACAGGAAGGAGTGAATCAGAAGGGCCTTCTCACTGCTGTGCCAGATTACTTTGCCTAAAGAATCTAAAAAGCATAAGAACAGAAGACGAGCCCTTCTGGATCAAAACAGTGGTCTGTGTAAAGAAGTATTTCCTTAACTGAGAAGTATTTTAGTGACTGAGAGGAGGATCCCACCTTTTACTGGCATTGCCTGACCTCATTGTGCTTTTTTAATCACCTAACCCAGCAAGAAGTGGGAAGGAAAACGAAGTGCTTGGGTCGCGCTGTCCAGAGAAATGTCTTTTGTGTCAGTGATGTGCTTGAATCCTTTCTTCACCATCCAGTTACACATAGACTGAAGCTGGTGGGGAGGAAGAGAATACAGTGCTAGATTAACCAGTAGGTTGTTGAAAGTGTCTCTTTAAACATATTCCTCCAGGGGGGAGGAGAACCCATCAGTGTAACTAGCTGCTGATAAGGACTGTATAATGTCAAAGTATGGTTTTTCCATTGAACTGATTCCAACTGAGGGTAACACATAGAATGTGATATGTCCTGGTACTATATGGCCAGTGTCCTGAAATCAGTCAAGAATGAGGGTAATGCCCTTGCTGGGAATGGGCAAACAATTTTGCACTGTTTTCACCCACCCACCCCAGATTGCCAAAGGATATGCTTTTTTTGAGGTGGTAAAAGCTTTTTAAAAAAAGAAGGAGTCTCAGAGCGGCTTACAAACGCCTTTCCCTTCCCCTCTCCACAACAGCCACCCTGTGAGGTAGGTGGAGCTGAGAGAGCTCTGACAGAAACTGCTCTTTTTCAAGAACAGCTGTGCCAGAACTATGGCTTGCCCAAGGTCATCCAGCAGGTGCAAGTGGAGGAGTGGGGAATCAACCCCGGTTCTCCCAGATTAGAGTCTGTGCACTTAACCACTACACCAAACTGGCTCTCTTCTCTTTTCAACTCTACTGTAGTTAAAACTACTTTCAAGGAACCAGGCAGGTAAATGTTACCCTGTCTTTTAAGCCACAAATAACTAATGCATATGTGACCAGGTGGTGTAATAAAAACTTTTGTGCTCAGTAACTTTTAAGGACATCTTGGCAAGGCTCAATACTCAGTCACTGATCAGGGAATATACACTTCCTTCTAATAGCTCTGTGTGCATTAAAATTCTGATTTGGTCACTTTTTCTTGCCTTATTTCTGAATTTCTGTATTTAGGCCTGCTTTGTATGTAGCATGTGCCATGTGTGTTGTGCCTAGAAAGCCAATGAACATGTTGGGTTATCATAGGTATTATTTGAAGAAGTGAAACCAGAAGCACACAACATTTTGGAATTCTTACATGGTATAGGGAGCCATGTTGGAGAAGCCTATATAACTGTAATGCATGAGGGTCATTTAACAAGCATAGCTAAAAATAGCAGGCATCTGAGGAAGCCGTGCAGAGTAGCACAAGCATAGATAGAACAGCCATGTCAAAATGTTGTATGCACAAAGATACTAAGCATTCACTGTTGGAGAGGTAGGTTTGTGCTTTGTTAGCCACCTATGCTATAACGTCACCTATAGAATAGTGAGTCCTCACCAGTCAGATGGGGGGCGGGGAGACTGAAAGCTCAGGGAGATGGCGGGAGCAGCAGGACGTTTCTTAGGATAAGGAGCAGGCAGCCAGCTGTGCTGCTTGCTGTGCCTTAGCAGTTAGTCTATTACTTATTTATCTCTCGTTTCCCCCAAGGAGCTCGGGAGCTATGCATTGTTTCCCCCTTCATCCATTTTATCCTCACAACAACACTGTGAGGTCTGGGAGAGAATGACTGGCCTGAGGCTACTCAGTCAGCCTCATGGCAGACTGGGGATTTGAAGCTGGGTTTCCTAGGTCCTCCTAGTCCGGCACTGTGCAATCACTACACCACACCAGCTCTGCCACAGCACATTTTGAGATCAGGCTTTGAGAAGAAGTGTTCCCCACTGTTGGGGGAAGACGGGACTTTTCCCCCAGGGAGTACAGGATCAAGATGCAGCTGGCCATGCTCTCCTCCTCCTCCCATTTCTGCCTCATTAAGGTGGCATAGTTAGAGGTGGCTTAAAGAATGTGGCACCATAGAGTTCCAACACAGGAACTTGAAGTTCCAAAACCATAACTGCTTTACGAAGCTGTAGCTTGGAATTAAAGCATTGTAAGAATTCTAGCTCTAGTCTAATCCTCGTTTGACTGGCCTAACTCAAGGTTCAAAGTGCAACTTTATTTTTTGACTATCTTATTTGTTTTTCTTGTTTTTTTCTTAATCATAATGCACAAGCCAACTCTCATTTTGTGTGGCCAATAATACTGGTAAAAATGATACTGAATATTCCAGTTGTGTTCTCATCTTTATCAGATTGGGTCCTTCAACTCTAGCGTAAACTCTCTTGACCTTTAAACAAATAAACTGGGATTATTAGAAATGGAGATCAATGTATTCGTATCCCTCAGCTCCTGACCTCTAATAACCCTTCAACTTTATACTGCAAGAAATGGAGCAGTTGTTGGAGCAGGGGATTCAAACATTTTCCATCAAGCAATCTGAGATTGGACATTTTCCTATCGCTCAGGCTTGTTGCAGTGAAAATTTCATTGATAAGGGCATCCATGGGTAACACTACCTCAATAGTCTCAAGGCAAAAGGTAGCAGAATCTTTTATCCCTTTCACTATTGTAGCAAATTCCTCTGCACTGCAGACTGAAGGCAAAGCTTAGCTTGAACTACAAAGATATGAAACTGACCAGGAAGTGTTTGCTGAGGATGCTGGGGCTTGCCAAGTAAATGCCACAATTTTAATATATAAAGTCAGGTGGAGAAATGTGTTTGTGATAGGACACACTGAAATAAGAACATGTATTACTTTAAACTAATACAAAATTATATATAGTTTTAAACCCACTAATTCTTCCTAATTCCCTGCATACCATAGAAAAGGAATACCTGAGCACCATCTCACATTAAACTGTCTGGTTGCTGTGTGTCACCCTACACCACATATCTTTTTTAACTTGTTGTTGGAAATGGTACGTTCTGTTTGGTTTCCTGTTGTGTTCTAGCCAGTGTTGCCCACATTTCTTTAATGGCACTGAGACTACCTTTTTGGTTATTGCGCTTCAGAATCTTGTAATATGGAGCATAAAGGAATAGCTTGTGTTCTGTTCTTACATAGACCGCGCACGCGGTCGGGTCCTCACACAACCATGCGAATGGCTTAAGCTTCGCTCTCCAAGACAATAGCCAGCATGGATCCTAGAACACACCCAATTGGGCGTTCAGGATCCTAGAGTGACCTATAGAATGCATGTGCACTGTAAATAATCCTATCACGGGTATGGGTGTGTGTTTGGGTGTGGTTTACTATGGGAATATAAACAGACCTCTGGTCCTGCTTTCCTTGTCTTGTTTTCCCAAGGTGAAATAAACTATGAGCTCTTTTACTTATCAACACATCTGGACTCAGTTCATTATAGTTTGCAAATCTTAAACTGCATGAGACTGATCAGAAATAGTGGACAGAAGTTAATACCATTTCCAGACACAGCAATCTATGTCTGGCAAAGTTGCCCTGAAAAAGAAGCAAACATAGGTAATGACTAGGTGAAAAGCAGGAAAAAGTAGAGCTTAGTTGAAGGAAAGTGCAGGGGGAACTGCATCGTGCTATCAAACAGTTGTGAAGCCTCTTGCCACCACATAGCCCCTCAGCATTGTTCTGAAATGTCTGAATTGTGTTGGTTCACATTAATTAATTTAGACATTTATAACCCACTTTTCTCCCCAATGGGGACTCATAGTAGCTTCTGACATTGGTCTCCCCTCCTCCATTTTATCTTTTCAATCCCATGAGACAGTTTTGGCTCAAAAGGATACTGTGGATCACACACACTAAATAATCCACTTTCCAACTGGATTTTGCCAGTTCACAAAATCCAGTTGGAAAGTGTATTGAAAGTGGATTATTTAGTCTGTGTGATCGCAGCCTTAGTGGCCCAAGGCCCTCATGGCAGTGTGGAGATTAAAACCTGGGTTTCCTGGATCCTAGTCTGATACTGGAACCACCACACAATGCTGAAATGGCTGGCAGAAGGACTAATCCACATTAAGAGCTCCTGCTGACACGGGCTAATCCACGCTGAGAGCTATGTGTGGACATCCACCATTGCGAAGAACATAAAAGTAACCTCTGTGGTGGCATCCATTTTATGTGCACTGATGCTGAGACACAAGAGGCAATCCATTTGTCAGTTGCAAAAGACTATCAAACAGCCAGGCACACTGCAAGCCTCCACCTTATTGCTTGACGCAAAAGTCAAATTTTGTGGCACTAAACACAGTCTGCAGTCAGAAAAAAATATGCAGTTTAGCATGATACACTTTCTTGTGTCAGACATAAATCACTGGAGAATTGAACTCTTAACTTACAATCTTGTACTTCCTTGGATATGATATGGAATGGTCTGTCAATTTCTACATCAATATTTGAGATTACATATAGGGTAAGACTTTTCTCATGAGTTGTCAGCTTAGAATCTCTACATGCTCTTAAGGACTCACTCTGTGCTATAAATGGATCACAATTATATCCAGGCAATCAGCTTTGCTAGTCAAGTAAGATGGCCAGTGTTCTGTAAGTAGTGGCCTATCAGAATGAATGGGATTCAAGCCAGTTAAAAATGTAGAGGCTGAGGGTGAAAAATGTGTACTTGGAACTTGATATATCAGGTTTTTCACAGGGTGTTAGCTTGAGAAAGAGAGAGATTTCCTGTCTGTAAATTGCCCTAATCAAGGAAAGAATGTTGTTGAACAGGTTTTATAAATCTCAATTATTTTTTTGACAAGGGTGGGACTAGGATGGGTGGATAGTTGAGTTCAGAATTTCCACATGCTCTAAACCACTAAATCATAATAAATGCAAGCCCAAATCTGTCTTAATGCTGTGTCTGTTTTTAACCTGGAGTATGTAAATATTGGACACTTACTATAATACAGTGAAATAAATACTCATAGTTCTACAGTTTGCTGCTTTAATTTAAAGGAAATGTTCATAAGGTGGGTCAATGCAGTACCTTGATCAAGAGTTGAAGTCAATGCCCATGAATACTTATTATTTGATCCAAGCATGAAAAAAATGGAGGTACTGAGTTTTTGAAGTTAACAGTGGCTGACTGAAATACCTTTATTAGAAAAAAAAACCCTAGACCCTTTTATTTTCCTCCTTCCCTTCTTAGGTATATTCTTTTACAATAGACATCCAATAAGGCAAGTGGATATTCTTGGAACTGTGGTTCTAACCAAAGAACGAGACACCTTTCATACATATGGAGGTAAGAGAAGTTCTGTTTCTCATTGTCATTTTTCTCTCTTTATTTTATTAATGCCTCAAAGTTCATACTCTTGACAGGACAATAGGTGTTGGGGGGGGGGCTTAGCACTCTTTTAGTGAATTATAGCATGAAACTTCCCATTATTACAATCCAGAAATGTAAGTGAATACTAACACATATTTCCCAGTATCCTAGGGATGTTTGTAAAGTGCTCAGAATGTTCATTACTGGGCATGCTATTTTACAGCTATATTGATATGAGTTTACCTGAGGAATGACTTCAGAACTGATTACAAGGAGCCTGAAATAGTGAGGAATACCATAAGAGCAATCCTAAACTGACCTACTCAGGTGTAACTCCCATTTTATTTAAAGGGGTCCATTCCCAGGAGAGTACCAACTATATTACCTTCACACATGTGGACAAAGGGCTTAGTCTGTCCAGATGCTAATCATGAGCGACAAAAAAACTTTCCTTCATGGGCTTGATGTAGGATGCCCATTTATCACCACACCCTCATTCCAAACTCTTCTAGTGACAGTTGGGACTAGCATCTTTGTTTAAAAACATACAATAAACAAAGACTCACAATCTCAGTTTGACTAAGACTTCATGGGTCCTATCCCACCAGCTTTTCCACTAGTGCAAAGAAGGAGAGTACCCTTGTGATCCCCCCCAGGATTGTCTGGAGTTAACAGGATGTGCATGAACAAATAGTCACAAAAAGTAGAACTGCTGTGAAGAGGGAACTTGGGTAAGTTTGTCCCTCCTCCCTCTTACACAATTGTCAGAACTGCTAGATTCTGTCCCCAGGTATTTAAAAGTAGTTTATTAAGGAGCCACCAGCTTTTAAAAGGCAACCTAGGTCATCTGACTACCTTCTCTGGACGGTGAAGCACACTCCAGACTTTTTAGGTTTGAGTTTTAAAGAGCATTGGAAAGAGGCTTATTGGGGTGTGTGGCTGCTGAAGCACTTTAGATGCAGCATAATGATGAAGGGAAAGGCTGTTGTTAGAGCACATGCTGTGTGAGGAGAAGGCCCCAGATTCAGTTCCCTTTGCCTGAGAATGGAGGAGGCCACTGCTACTTGGTATAAATACTAGGCTAGATGGACCATTAATCTAACTTGGTGTAAGGCAGCTTTTCCCTTTGTGCAGTAATTTTAGTTGCAAATCTCACTTCTACTGAAAAATGGGGACATTCTTCTACATACCCCATATATTAGATATACAGTGCACCCCCTCTCATATACCTTGTCACCCCTTATCTTTTACACACACACACTCATAAACACACACCCTATTTTACCCATTTAAGGAACAGTCCTCTAGCACTTACACATACTTCTTCACATCTTCTCACTTGGAAAAGTCCTGTATCCTTTCACACCGCCTAGTAAGCCATAAAAAGACTGTATTCTAATATAATTTTTAATGTGTCAAGTAATCCCATAGTTGCTTCTGCTAGGAGTGTGGGGATTTTCATTGCCCTGTAGCAGATGGGAAGCAGTAGGAAGAAGAAGCTGTCTCTTGGGGGCAGTTCACGCATTATAAAGCACTCATGTCTCCCACAGGCCTTGATGATCAGATGTGCACCTGGAGTTCTGTGCTTGGAACTTAATTCCCAGGTGTAGGTATGTGTGTATGGAGGGGATGATTTGGACAATAGCATGCAGGGAGAGGGGGCTTCAATCTTCCCCTCAGTGCCGTTTTCCCAACGTGAAGCACCTTAGGGAACTAGTAGTTTCCTCAGTTGGGCAAACAAAAGTTCACTGGAGCTATTTCTGGTCAGAAACAGTGACATCAGGAGAATTTGAGCTCCCTCTTCCCGCATGCCACAGTCCCAATCTGGATCACATCCCTCCAGGTGCATGTCTGACCTACAGGATTCTGGGCAGCCATGGGAGGGACATGCAGTCTTTATAGTGTGTGAATTGGCTCTCAGGATACATGCTGAGTGATAGCAGTTGAGGGGTCTTATTTCCTTTTGCTTAGGGTTTCAGTTCTCTCTACTGTCCCGGGGTAGAGTGGGAGGGTTTCTGCATGATTGTTCATGTTGCTTTGGGTCTTGGTATCCTTGCCTTATAAAGTGTTTCATTGAGGAGTGATACTGCTTCTAACTGTGTGTTCCAAACTGCCTCTGGATATCTTCTCCTTAACCACTCAGTCACAATGTCTAGATGGCTAGGAAGTGTGCTGGTGTAGCAATGGTAGGCACCAAACAAACTGTGCTAATGGCCACTTTGAGACTGTCCTCTTACAAATACTATAGCTGTGAAGTGCCTTGTAGTTATTTCATGTACCTTGTCACAAAAGCCCCTTTCCTTCACATTCAAATGAAAAATTAAGTAATGTCACATAAGCTAAATGCTGAGTACTCCAAAGTGAATTCTGTAAAAGGGCTCCCTTCCCTGCTTAGGGCTGCCTTCCTGCTTCCCATTGCATCAATTTCCTTTTTCTCCCACACTTTCAGACTGTTCCCAGTATAATTTTCAGGCTTCCTCCCAGGTGGCCCCTCCCTGTCCTTCCCTCAGCCACAGTCAGGCTGACTCGGCCAAAATAAGTTGTAACTTCTATTTGAGTCTAGCAGCTTTAAAAAAAGAGTCTTTGCTAGCTGGGGAGTGAATAAGAAAGGATTGCATCAGCTGCACGGGGAAACTTAGAAATGATGCATCCCTTGGTGTGAAAAGAACTGTGGCTGGGCCTTTTCTGTTTACACTAATGCTTTTCAAGGTTTATACTTACACTTTTCAAAGTTAGCTGCTTGTTGTGAACCTTGGGCTTTTAATAATGGAAACAGAAAAATATTTTATTTGTTTAAAGCATTATCTTACCTTTTTATTCTAAAACAGATTTCCCAGGGCAAATCACAGTAAGTTTAAAAACAAGAGGAAAGGGCCATAGGTCAGTGAGCTAAGTCTCTATATTCAAGATAAAGAGCACAAACATAATGTTAAAAAGTTTAAAAGCAGCCTGTTAAAAAACAACTTCAGCATGATCAAAACTAAGGATTATCTGCTGTGATAATTTACAAATGCTAGGATAGAACAGTGGCCCTTCTAGCTAAGAGTCCTGTTATTGGAAAGGGCCAGCAACTGATTCGAGAGAGAGAAAAACTATAAAGAATATAAATTATCCGCACCACAATTCACCTGAATGAAGCAGAGGGCTAGCCCTCAAGTTCAAGGATTACCCAAAAGTTGACAAACTTGCGTTGATTGTTCCTAAAAATAGCTTTGAGGCCTCCCCTTCCCTCATTCAGCTATTCTCTGCAAGTCATTTTCAGGTTGTTTCTGGTAATGGCTGTTGTCCTTTCCCTGTTGCACAGTTTATCTCTCTCTCTCTCGTATTTATTTCACAGGGAATGCAAAATGTTTGCCACTTTATGAAAGGGCTTGTATAAAGATAGGATACTTTCGCAGACAACAGAACAGGAAGGATGGGAACAGCGAGACTGTTGGAATTAAAAATCTGCTTGTTGCAGTGATTTGGCTTACATTAGCAATATCAACAAATGAACAACAGAATACTTTTTTCTTGCAATAAGGAAGCTGTCCTTCAAATCTGTACTTCCCTTTTTTTTTTCTTTCCCTGAAACAACACACTTTAGCCCCAGACAGTTTCTGTCTTAGATCATCCTCCCCATCTCTTCAAATACAAGATGTTTTCGCTCTCCTTCAATCCATCACTGCCAGACAGGGCTGTAAGAGGAGGAATTTAGAGGCTGAGCTATTGTGCATGTGGCTCACTTTGATGTCTGGAATTGGCCAGCCAGATTCAATCTATTGATTTGTTGCAATAGAAAGTTGTATTTGGTGAGAAAGGGAAGCTAGTGGGAGAATGCTGGTAAGGTACTGGACAATAGTTTGCTTCCTTTCATATCTCCTAGTCTCCCCCCCCCCCAAAAAAGGACAGACATTGCTGAGTAAAAATATTTTCAGCTGCAAAGATTTGAATTCTGTACCTTTGTTTTTGAGACTGGCAAATCCAACATACTGACAAATGTTGCTATTATCTTCCAGTGGATGATGGCACAGGAGTTATAAGCTGCATCTGCTGGAAAAATCCTGTGGCAGAACAGAAGTCTTTGTCAGGTAACATTCAGATCTATAGCTGCTTAAGTCTGACTGTTTTTACTGTATTATTAACCTCTGCGTGCCTTCTGCTTGAAATTTCAGATTATTTTTTGGTACCGAAATGAGGCAGGATCATTTTGAGATGCTCGTCTCATTTTTCTTGACATTGATACTGGTTTAGCGTTGTGATTACCACTGAAAGCACAGTGCTAAGATCTCTTTGTTGACAACCAAACATCACTTGTTCCTGACTTATTGATTAAATCTGCAGTCTGCAACTGAAAACATCAAAGAAGTCTTTGCTCTTGCTCCTGATGTGATTTCCCCACCATGGTAAAGGAAGGCTGTGAAAAGATGTTTGCTGCAAACAGCTGTCTCCCAGTCCACATCCACTCATCTGAGGCATCTTTGTTTTGCACATAGTAGCAGGCCCTGTCATCTTCTTTACTACCTTCCCTTCTTTACTACCTTCCCCAGTCCCTGACAAATCTAAATCCTTCCTCCAAGCATTACTTTTTCATCCACACATTGAGCACCTAGTCTTAGCTTGTCTAGCTGGCCCTGTGTGGAACCAGTAGCAATTTTTAAAATAGTACTTTTGAGGTCCTTTAGCTTTCTGCCTAGTAACCTAAATTTTTCCTGCAGGACCACAAAACTGCATTTTCTGAGATCATTGGTGCCAGCGTGCACCATGACTGCTGACTTCTCCCTAGCACTACCTAGCAATCTGTGCGCCTTCTGCATGCCACCACCAGGAGTTAGACAAAGTGATCCCAGATGTATTTTGGGCTTTGTAGCAGAAGAAGGGATAAAGGACAATTTCTCAGTGCTTCAGGACAGGTGCCTTTCTCTTGCTACCTACAACCAATACTCCCTTTAAGCTGTGGAGTCTTGTGAGTAAAAATTCTACTTTGTGAGCTACTGGCCGTAAAGTTATGAGCGAGCAGTTTGGCTACTGCATAAATTAGTTTGCTCTGGAGCAATCCTTCCTGAGCTAAGACAAAAATGTGTGAGCTGGAGGCTAAAAAACTGTGAGCTAGCTCACGCTAACTCCGCTTAGAGGGAACATTGCCTACAACTGCCTATTGCATAACATGGCCAGATTCTTCCCTTTGTTCCTGCTTCAATAGGCTGCAGGGCAAAATGGTGGTAGACAGATGGTATTTCTAAAAGCGTATTTTTAAGTCTGGTTTTGTAGACTTGCTGTCAGCCAATGTTGCCTCAGCTATTGTCAGCATTTACAAAAAGAGTGGCTGTGGGTAAGCAAATGTTGCAGCGTTTTGCCTTTTGGTGCGCTGAAAATAGCTGGAAAACCATATTAATATACAACTAAGGTAAAATTAAACCTTGAGTACAAGCTAATGTATTAGAAGTCAAACCTTAATTGATGTTATATCAGCCAAAAATTTGACCATAGCTGTTTGAAAGATACGATTTAATGTACAAGTCATCTTCAGTTTATCACTGGCTTTGTTCTGAAATCTAATGAGGAGTTTAAGTGCACAGAAGAGACAGAATATTTAGCAGCTTGCTTTTCCTGAGGATTTGTTCTGACAGGTAATTTCTCCAAACTGCTACAACTGAGGCCCATGCCGCCAAGGCTCAAAAATTGAATTTTAGAAGTTGAACTAATAAGCGTGGAGTTCTGTCAAACTGTGTTTGTATCTTGGCAGGCACCAAAAGACAGCTCCAGTTCTTTTGCTACGTATAATATTAAGGTTCCCTTATTGAGATAGAGCCTTGCTAGGGATTTTTATATTTGTTTTGGACTTAGTAGTTTGTTTTTTGTTCAAGTTCAAAATGCAGAAGAGTAGCACTGTAATGTCGGTATCATAAGAAGGGTCCAGTGGCACTTTTGAGGACAACCAAATTTATTGTTAACCGAAGTTTCCATGGGCAAAAGTCTACTTTATCATATGCATGAAATGGAAAGTGTCATGTTGGGTATACATATGGGTCCTATGCTGAGAAGAAAATGTATTTTAGGTAGTGAGAATAAAAGCAGAGTCCCTACATTAAATACTCTATGGATTTTAATAGGGTATATTTAAGTGTGGTGTCAGGTTATGATTAAATGTTTACTCAGGAGCCGATGTAGCACAGTGGCTAAGGTCTGCAGTTCAACTTTTGACACTGCTATGGACTCAATTATGACCACATTCAAAAAACAAGAGAAATCTATGTTCGTGATGGGCATGAGTGGAGCGTGTTGTTATGCTTGTGCCTCCCCCCCTGTGGAGTATGATTGAACACCGAAGCTCCCAATTTGCTGCAACATCTGAATGGTCTGTTTGAGAGAAGGGTGATTTTTGACAAGTTTCCCCGTTTTGCTGCCACCCCCTTTGTTACATAGCATATTGTTCTGAAGGAACTCTGCAGTGGCTTTACAGGAGCAAGTAGGGGGAAGACAGGAAATCTATACTTCTGTGAACTCTGTATCTCCATTTGTGGGAATTTGGATCCTCCCCTTCATGGATTTGTAGCTTAAGAATAACATAGTGCCTTCAGTGCTTTTCGTATATTAGGCAATATCCAACATGAGATCTCAAAATCCATTTGGCCATTCAAATGTTGTTGTTAATAAAGCAGTGCCAACTAAGTTATGTTTTTTTTTATTTTGTCTCAGATTATAAATCTTATCCTAGCACCTCAAGTAGCCTGGATCTAGTTGAACAGATGAGGAAGCTCCAAGAAGTGGTTCGGCTGAAAAGTAGACTGAATATTGGTGATGTCGTGAGAGTCCGTGGTTGCATTAGAATCTATAGACAGAATCGAGAAATCAGCGCCTCCACATATTGTGAGCAGTTACTTGTTCAACAGTATGCGTTCTTATCCAGCCACTTATGAGACATCTAAGCCATACCCAAAAGGTCTATAGTTATATGGGTTTGTCACAGCTAAGTCACTTTAAGTCTCTGATCCCCACATTCATGAATCGTACTATATATGACCCTATGTATCACCATTTTGGTCACATTATGAGGAGACAGGAGTCACTGGAAAAGACAATAATACTAGGGGGAAAGTTGAAGGCAGGAGGAAAAGAGGAAGACCCAACATGAGATGGATTGACTCTATAAAGGAAGCCACAGCCCTCAGTTTGCAAGATCTGAGCAAGGCTGTTAATGGTAGCATGTTTGGGAGATCATCAATTCATAGGGTTGCCATAAGTTGGAAGTGACATGACAGCAGTTAACACACACACACACGTATTAACTTACGCAGCAAGCAAACGTTTTGGGCTTTTTTATTGCAGTCACTGACACAATTCCATGAGCAAAGTAACTGGCCTCCCCTCACTTTCTAGGAGCAAGCCACAAACTCAGCTTCAAATGCAGAGACCTGTGTACACACACACATACTATGTGCAGCCCTACTATTTACTTATTTTCTTAATTTACACTTCTCCATTCTCCCCAGTGGGGACCTGCAGTGGCTTACATCATTCTTTTCTCCTCACAAAACCCCTGTGAGGTAGGTTAGGCTGACTGTGTGCGACTGGCCCAACATCACCCCACAAGCTTCCATGGCAGAGTGGGGATTTGAACCTGAGTCTCTCAGACCCTGTTCAAGCCCTCTAAGTACTACACCACACTGGCTGTTACAGGGGTTCCATATAGGCCATACACTGTACTGAGATGCTCAGGAGTTATGGATAAAAGGGCTTATAATATATTCATTGAATAAAACGGCAGATAAGTTTTTATTCCTTGAAATTCAAATGTCATTATGTTTGTGCATCCCTCATATCTTTTCAGATAAAGTCGATGATCCTATCTGTGATGCTCAGATTTCAAGGATGCTAGAAATCCCCCATCTATACCGAGAGATTTATGATAAGATATTCCTGCTACCAGAAGAGAAACAGAGGTCAGTGAATAGGAGATGCCAAGCATTCTCAAGTGTATTCTCATATGCCAGTGGGAATTATATTCAGGTGGGTAGCTGTGTTGGTCTGAAGCGGCAGAACAAAGTTTGAGTCCAGTGGCACCTTTAAGACCAGCAAAGTTTTATTCTGGGTATAAGCTTTCATGTGCAAGCACATTTCTTCAGATACTGTCTCGGAAGAAGTATGCTTGCACACAAGAGCTTATATGTTGAATAAAACTTCGTTGGTGTTAAAGGTGCCACTGGACTCAAAATTTTTCTGCCAGTGGGAATTATAAAACTACAAGTGGGAACCTGCAAAGACTTGCAGGAGGCATCTCATTTTCCCATCCCCCACTATTTCCTCTTTCCGTTTCCTGAAAGCTCCCATAGCCTCTGCCCTTTGTCCTTCCAGAGTTGCCAGCCTCCTGGTGGGGCCCAGATATCTCCTGGAATCACAACAGATCTCCCAACGAGAGAGATCAGTTCCCCTTAGGTTTGCCAGCTCCAGTTTGGGAAATTCCTGGAGATTTGAGGTGAAGCCTTGGGAGGGCAAAGTTTGGGGAGGAAGAGTATCATGTCATAAAGTCCACCCTCCAAAGCATCCATTTTCTCCAGGGGAACTGATCTCTGTTATCTAGAGAGCAGTTGTAATTCTGGGTGATCTCTAGCCCCCACCTGGAGGATGGCAACCCCAGTTCACCTAGAGGAAATGGCTGCTTGGGAGCGTGGTGTCTATGGCATTATACCCTTTCTGTAGTCCCTCTTCTCCTCAAACCCTATCCTCCCCAGGTTCCACCCTTCAAATCTCAAGGTACTTCCTACCCAATAGCCAACCTGCCTTTATCTGCTCTTCTGTCTTAAGCTTTCCATCCCCCCCCCCCCCCCCCACAGCATTTTCTACCTCGAAAAACTTGGTGCC